CCTACCTGGGGAAACAACCTTTCTCGGAGAGGTGACCTTGGTTAAAACACACAGCGCTAAGGGGAGCAAACATATTAAGAACAGTATGCTATATACGCCAGGTCCCTTGAAACATATGCTGTGCAGATGTTTCTTTCCTGCAGCGACTGTGTCAAGCAGCAAGGATGGACCGGCTTCCGGCAGATGAGGTTTAGCATAGGTTTGTTTCATGGGAAATCATGGCATATTTTAAAAGAGATCTCACCAATTAACCAAAGAACTGGTATGCATATATGCACAACCCATGGACATAGACAATGGTGTGATGAAAGGCCTGGGGCTGAGGGAGGGTGCAGGCTAGGACTCACTGGGGAAAGAAGGAAACATCTGTAACACTTTCAACAATAAAGAAAAAATATTTCATGTAAAACCACATGAAATACATTAGAAAAATATCTATTCACACTTATGCTTTTAGGTAGTCATGGCCTCAAATAAGTTTTCTCTTTCATATATGAGGGGGGAAAGTTTTATGGAATTATTAAAACACTTTTGAAATCCTTAAAAAAAGAGGGAGAGAGAGATCTCACCATATAATCGCTGAGCGAGGTCACTGATCTCCTGAATCCTTTCTTCTTGCTGAGGCACTGAAGGCGTGATAAACTTATTGAACTGCTGGTGGAGGATTTCCACAGCCTCCCTTGTCTGGCATTCTGTGGAATATTTTCCAACTCTTACAACTGTGGCACTTGCATCTTCACACCAAAAATGACACTACATTAAAATGGAACAAAGCATAGATTAAGGAGACACCATCATTCTAATGTTCTTTGCTTTGGTCACTGAAGTATCAAATTTAAATTTTTTCAAACTTTATATTCACATTAGTTTGAATTATCTAAGTCTTAATAAAAAATATCAAAGCATGATCATATACTTTGTACTTGGATATTAGAGTCAGACAAGAAAAAGTATGAAAATTCATTTGATTTTTCTTGCCTTCTTAAATTTGTCTGAAGCATAATTCCTAAGAGGAAGGTTGCATATTTGCAAGAACAGGCAATATAAGAAGTATATGGCACTAGAAATCCAAATATAAGCTAAAAGGAAACTAAAAAGCCCAAACACAAAATCCAGCCTAATTCATTGAAACCATTAACAATACATGGATAAAGTATTGCCTTATTATCAAACGACTTCTCTTTTAAGAATGAGATGTAGTCTATGGATTAAGGAAATATCACCTAAGGAATAGCATTTGACCTTTTTTGTAATAGAAGACAGTCATATTTCCAAAGCACACTGGAGAACTGAGTTTCTTCACTAAAATAAATAACCATGATGGAAGGAACATGTCTGACCAAGGCCACAAGCTCTTACGCTGAGTGGGAAATAGCAACACATGACTTCGTTAGGAGCCAGCTTTGAATAAGTGCCGCAGAGCTACAGCAAACCTGTGTGTCATAGAAGAGTAATCTTCTGGATCCTCCTTAATATGGTGTTAAATCTAAAAACTCTACTGCATCAGTGGTAAATAGAGGTGTTTGTTTCTTGGTTGTTTTTTTTTAAATCTCAGAATAATGGGCTACAAAGAACACTCAAGAACTTCAAGTGCAAAGTTTCTTCAATATAAGTGTGCAGCCCCACTAGTGTGGCTCAGTATTTGAGCATCGGCCTATGAACGATTCCTGGTCAGGGCACATGCCTGGTTGTATACTAAATATCCAGTAGAGGGTGTGCAGGAGGCAGCCCATCAGTGATTCCCATCATTAATGTTTCTTTCTCTCTCTCCCTCTCTCTTCCTCTCTGAAATCAATAAAAACATATTTAAATATGTGTGTGAAAATAACTTTAACTTGTCAATTTTATATATTTTATGTATACTTTTCCATTTTATCCTTTTGAGAAAATAAAAATAACACCAATAACAATTTTTATACCTGAAATATCCAAGTATCACCCTTTCTTTCTAAAAACTTTCATATTCTGTGAACTAAATAAGTCATTTTGGGTATTTTAAACAGATACCCAGCAGTGAACATAATTTCATGATTGTTAAACATCTTGAGTTGACAAGGTTATAGAGAAAGGAGAAACTCTCATATGTTGCTAGTAAGAGAAAGTTAGTCAAGTCTTTCTGAAGGGCAATTGGACAATACAATCAAAATGTTGTAACATTCATCCCCTTTGGTTCAGTAATTCTACTTTAGGTAATTGTCCTAAACAAATAATCATGGAAAGGAGAATGATGCATGGGCTTAGTGACAATAATAGCTCCTACAGCATTGTTTTAAAGTCTCAGAGTGATTTTCTAGGACAGCATTACAGTATAGACACCACACCAGGAAGCAGATACCTCTTCTATCATCTCGTGGAGGTGCTCGGTCAGGTCCAAATTCTTCTTGTAATCTGTTACAACTTTATCAAACTCATCCACATGTTTTTGCAAATCCTTCATGGCTTCCAAAAGGACAGTAACTTTACTATTTGGGTAATTTAAGAAAGATTCAGGAGTCTTGTTCTCAAGTTTTTCCATTTTCCTTTTCAAAACCTGTGCCAAACAATAAATTTTTTAAAATAAAATTCAATTTTTATTTAAGAGGCTAGCTGGTGATTAAATATTGGAGAAACACTTGGGAAAACTATTTGAAGCTTTCTCCATTATAATATATTCAAATTATAATTATTGCAAATGAATTTTGGAAAGAATGGCTTTCTTCTAGAGAGTATATTAATTCAGCATTCAGAAAACATATAGAAAATTAACTGTAGACCAGGGTCTATTCCACATTTTGAGAATGATACTATGATAAAAAAAATAAGACAATGATCATAAAATCAGATATTTTATTGTCTTCAGTAAGTTCACTGTCTCCTGGAAAAGGCATTCAAATAATCTAGTCTGTAGATGTGATAATCAAGGTAGGTGAACAGAACTATAGAAGTAGTGGAGAAAGGTCCTTACACAAGCAGGTGCGAGGGGAAAAAAGCGGATGTACAAAGGTATATGCATGTATGCATATGTGTATATGTGTGTATGTGTGTGCATGTGTGTGAGTGTGTATGTTTCTGTGTGTTGGGGGCAAGAATGGAAGCAGAGAGGCTAGGTAGGTTTGGTAGAAACCATTCTGGAGCTGCTTTCAAAGGTAAATCAATTTATTATGTATTTTACATAAAAATTTAATTGCTATAAAAATGGATAACTCCCTTTTCAGTCCCAATGCTGAAAAAAAAAGCCCAAGGATTAGGCATCTAGAATTGAAATGCAAAATGATTTTGCAATAACTGTAGTAGTGCATGCAAACACACATACACACACTTTTTCATTACCTGTATTTTCTCAACATACATATCAACTTGTTGAATTTGATATTTCAGAGACTTCAGATTCTTAGCTTTTTCATTTTTCTTAGTGTAATTAAACTTCAAATTGTTAAATTTCTTTTTGATATCCTTGAATGACTCTCTGAGCTGCAGGTCAATAAAAAGAAAGAGGTGATTTCCTTAAAATGAGAACAGTAATATTCACTTCTAATAAATGAAAACATCTAAACACTTCAAGATATTCATAATCTTTAAGATGTGTTCAGTGATTTTCAATAGAAAAACATGTCTGCTAAGTGAACATATAATGTGAATTTAAACATATCCCCAAAATGTAAGTAATTATGAATTTGTCTTAGTACTTTTAGAGTTTAATTTATAATTAGCTTTACTGTTATAGAATATCCTTTGGCCTCCACCAATAAAGTTTTTAAGATATCATGAACTTTAGACAACTCTAATTTTCCTATTTGTACTTATTTGGTATCATTTTTCTACTCATTCCATTCCCTGTGTGTTTGACATCTGCTGTTTAGATGGGAAAGATCAACATCTATTTGAAAATATGTGATGAATGGAGAAAGGCTGAATCTTAACCTTTTAATTCTAAGCCATGAAATTTTAAGTCTATTCTGGATGAAGAAATTGAAGACGGATAAACAATGAGTGCAATTTCATTTCCATTGGTTTCAGAATGTAAGCACTTCCACTGAAAATGACGTAAAGGCCTAAGAATGTTCATGGCACTATGGGTATGTGACATGGGATCGGCTTCTCTCTGACACATGAGCTCCTCTGACAAAGTTGCTGGCACTTTTCTCTCTGGGTCCCACTGGAAATCCATCTTAAATGTTGTGCCTTTCCCAGCTGGGATCCAGGACCGCTGCAGATACAAGTGGGAGGCAGCATGCACGAACCACCTTCAGCAAAAAGAAATCTAGTCATGCTTACTTTTCTTACCTGCACCTTTTAATATGAAAACTTAACTTCCCATCTAATCTCCACATAACCTGTGGTCATATTTTTAAAGGAATTGAGTGCCATGGTCGCTTGACTGTGGGATCATTGTTCCTGCAGCTGTTTCTAACTTTAGCTAGCTTGTCAACAATGGGGAATGGTGGCGATGGCTAAGACAACTGCTCAACTGGAGCACATAAACCACCAAAAACACCAAAGCTTGTGGCAAGATGAAATTTACCAGAAATATTTAAATGTTGTTATAAATCATATTCATAAAAATTTATGAGTCTTACATAATTCAGAGGGAGATTTTTTTCCCTAGTGAATAGTATGATTTCCCTACCTTCTCACTTGCTGCTCTTTGCTATGGAATAAGCAGGCTAAGTTAATATAGCTATAATTAGGAGGGAAATAGGAAGACTTTAAAACTGTAGGTCTTTTGACACTAGCAGAATGAGCATCCTCACCAAATGTCCCAGGGAGCGGTAAGCCTCTCTCAGGTAGAGGCTGACGACAAGGAGACCAGCTTGCTATTCTTAGTGCTGGTTGGGCAGTGCTGGCACAAGAATGTATTATTAGTGAGTCTGTTGCTGACAAGGCCAATTTATGGAGGGGACGTGGGACATTTTAAAACTAAGGAAGTATGTTTCACACAAAAGCCTTTCATTAGAGCTATGGCACATGTTTGGCCAGAACTAAAAACACAGAACAAGTAGTCCATTTCTTTTAATGGCCATTTCATGAGCTTCATTTCTTGCCCACCATTGTGCCCAATCCAGACAAAAGCTTTCTGATTGATGCTCATTTTAGGAAGAGAAAGCTGCAATGTTGTCATCTCCCAGGGGTGCTTGCGTTTGAAATGAAGGGACCCAAAGACTCACAATTAAACCGGAATGATTTGTTATACAATTAGTAACGGCAGATTATTAAGCCTTAGCGCTGGAGAGATTTCGGGATAAGACTTTCTTGCCCTCCTTCCATAAAGCAACTACACCGCTGTCTTGCTGTGCTTAAGGCCAGTCTTGTACCGGCAGAAAGTAGGGGGCTTGGAAAGAGAAGACAGTTGCCCCGTTTTAAATTATAGGTGGCAGCATGCCTCAGTAGTGCCCATTTTATCCACCCTGCAAGTTTTGTGTCCATAATGTATTTAAGTTTATTTTCTGAATATAACTACGATGTTACAATTTAGCTCTCTATATCCTTTAGAAAGAAGAGGCATTTTGTAGATGTAAAACACCAAACTTCTAAGATTTTAACCATATGAGATGGACGTTTTCAGAACAAATCACAATAGTTCCTATTCTCTTACACATGTGATTGAATGGACCCAGGGTGGGCCTGAGGACGGGTGGCTGTGACTGAAGTCCCAGGGGCTTTAACCTGCCCTGGGCTCTGATTCCTGAGGACTTCTGCATTCTTATGACCCTCCTGTCACCACAGGTAGCCATGCTGATATTTGCTGAATGACAATAATTTAGGTTTTTCTTTTAAAATGATGAACAAAAGTTATCAATCTACAGAAAAAATAACTTTCTGTTCTGCCCTGATCAAGTCTTTTACTCATCTGTACACACATTTTCTGCTTCTTTTCTTTCTAGGGGGTGAATGTCCATGGTCATTTTGTCAATGGAAAACCACCATGCAATGTCAGGAGGGTTAATTGTATATGTGTCTATTATCATTTCTAATCTGCCTTGTATCCATGGAACAAAAACTCTGACATATGATAGGTAGATACATAGATAGATAGATATACAGGTATATATAGTCATTTTCTGTTTCCTTCCTGATGTTTAGATGTTGCTACAGTGCAAAAAAATTCAGGCTAAGTAATATAATTATATGAAAGCTTCTGATTGCAAATTTGAGAAAATGGATAGCAACCCAATTCTGTCATTACTATTCTTTTCAGCAAAGTAATTGTTTGTGGTCTATAATGAGACTCTAGCTACAAATTTCCATTAACGTCATGTAAATGTAGAGGTAATTTTTTATCTGATTGCAAGAAGAAAATATGCTCAATATTAACTTACTACATTTCTAAATGAAGATGGTAAAGAACGAGTAATGAGGTTCTGTCATATAATATGGCAGAGAATGTCTATAGTGCTTTGTGTATTAATAGCTTATTTTATATTGTCAGGCGACAAAACATAATGAAATTCAACATTCATGCATACAAACATATCTTTGTGGGAAATGGGTGAGAAAAAAATCACAAAATATGTCAGTCTGAAGGCTGTGTTTTCTAGTAGGGAGACATGGAGAAAATGAATTTTCATAATGTCCTGTGTCATTTAGTATATGAAATTTAAAAAACTAATATTTTAACCAAAGATGATCAAGGCCCAAAACCATGGTTCTTTGTCTTTAAGAAATTATCACATTTTTAAAAATCACATTTAGAACATCTCACTTCATTTTGCCTTGAGGTACCACGTCCTTTTCTAAGGGCCTTTCATGTAGTTAAAACCATGTATGTTAGTTACGGCAACATCAAGAAAGTGGTTTTGGTTGAAATGACCAAATTAACTGTTATTGTATCAGATCATACAAACAGCCTATGACATATACACCACAGAGTAAAGATAGGCGAGAAAAGTATAGAAAAGAAGTACATTTGACATCAGATGTGCAATAATTGAATGAACTAAACCATTCACTGAAAGGTGAAGTCTGAGTTTAGCAAATGACAGGTGTGTTGGTGGCCAGTAAATGAGCCCCTGGCCCAAAGCTGACTCCTGACATTCTCTGAGCTGAAACTCTGCAGTCCTATGGCACAATAGGTGAAAACTATCGTATACATCTCATCCGAGGAATAAAGATGTTAAACCAGATATCCTTCAAAATTCATTTCAACTCAGAATCTGTGAACTTGCAAAAAAGCTCTTTAAGAAAACAATGAAATATTAGAAGAAAAACGTGTTTTCAAATCAACATATAAGCCAAACCAATGGACAAGGACAACAGGGGGATGAGAGCACGAGTTGGGGGTAGGGAGTGGGGAGGGAGGTTGGGGGTTAATGGGAAATGAGGACACATTTGTAATACCTTAACCAATAAAGAAATTTTTAAAAAATCAAATGCTATGCATGGTCTAGTTCCCTGGTAAGGTACCCAACTTTATTTATTTTTTAAAAATATATTTCATTGATATCTTACAGAGAGAAAGGGAGAGGGATAGAGAGCTAGAAGCATTGATGAGAGAGAAACATCGATCATCTGCCTCCTGCACACCCCCAATTGGGGATGTGCCCACAACCAAGGTACATGCCCTTGACTGGAATCGAACCTGGGACCCTTCAGTCCGCAGGCCGGCGCTCTATCTACTCAGCCAAACCGGTTAGGGCCCGACTTTATTTTTTTATACAAAAAAAGTAGTGGAACATGTTGCTTTTAGTTTTACAAAATGTTTGAATTATCTATACCAAAATTTTAATGAAGACAAAAATAATAAAACTGCCTAGGTGTCAAATATTCACTTGGAATCAGTCATCTGTTTGTACTCTGATATTCATAATACAAGCCAGAACACACATATCTTTATTTTACTAAAGGGCACTGAAAATATTACTTGTAATTACTTTCCCTTTTAGGCTCATAATTGGAAAGGCCAAGGCGTAGACACTACACTGTGACATGCCGAATATATCTCTATAAGAAAGGGAAGGGGAGAAAGGACCAACGATGTTCAAAGACCCTTTACATGTGAAAGTATAACCTACATCAAAGATTAGTTGGGTTTGAAGTAGACGCAAAGGGGAAGAACAGGTCTCTTAATATTTAAGATCATGTTAGAGTGACATCTGATTCCTAATTCAAGCTTGCACATATCTGGTTGCTCATTCCTGGTAAGGTACAGACAATCCTGGGGCATCCCTACTATGACTGGAAGAGTGATCTCTTGTCCTTGCCAGCTGGCTCCCAGCACAGGCTCATCACAAGGCAGCCTGTAAACAGAACCCACTGTGGGAAGGGCCTGAACAGGAGACCCAGCACCACAAATGCCACAGCGCTTCATGGAGGTGGAAACTGAGCAGGAAGGGACTGGGAATAAGCCTTAGCCAGCTCCACTTGTGGTTTCCGTAGAGGCTGAATATCACAGCAGGAAGAGCAATTTTCAGCAAGACCAAAACGTTGCCACGAAGAAGAACAGGAGGAGAAGGAGGAGGGAGGAAAAGAAAGATGGGGAGAAGGAAGACGAGGAAAGAAGATAACTTTGGGGAAAGATAGTAAACACATTGTTTTTATGACTGCCTAAATTTTATAGCTTTGGGAGAATAATGCTCTTCTAGGAATGCTTTCCTTATTAACTGCAGTACAGGAAGCAGAAGAGGCAATTCTACTACCTAGTGGGCAGGATACACTGTGAGTTTAACCCTGAATGAATCTCTAGTCCCAAATGACTGCCTGGAACAGCATCTGAGTGGAAACTATAGTCCTGCAGCACATTGCTAAAATGAACATCATTATTGATGTAGTTGTTGCTTCCCTCCTATTGAATAGCAAGATCCAAAACGTTGCCACCTCTGTTCCCTGGCCTCTCCTGCTCTGTTCCCTCTTCCTTTCCCTCTAGCAGTGCTTGCCTGGCCCTTACCTGTGGTTTATGAAAGTGTGGCCTGCAGGAAAGGGCTCTTCAAGTTCAGTTACAAATACTTTAGTCCATGCTCTAATGTTGTTTGATAATGTTTGATATGTTTGGGCCTGCATCGTAAAACTGGACATAAACAGAAACTTCAAGTAGGTTTACTTCCTTCTCCCCCACCCTGTTTCCTAATAGATTTGTGACAAATGGACTCAGAGACATTTTGTTCTAACTGGGGATAGATCTGAAATCATGGAACCTGTGTTCTGCCAATCTCCAGTTGAGAGTTGGGACCCTTGCTATCCTGAACAGGTAGAGCTTTGAACGGAAAGTTTAATTAGGGAAGGGTAGTGGTTGCAATCCAGTATGTATCTGGGGATTGGGGGCCAAGCAGAATTGAGGGAGAGGAGGTTGAATTTAGTAATAGGGGAGTGCACTGATGTGAAGGACACTTTTCATCTGTTCATTATTTTTCTCTAGGAGTTGTTTTGCCAGAAAAGCTACTCTGAATAAATAAAAAATCAGATACTTGACTTTGGTGATAAGACTTTGTAGCCTCTGAGGCGAAGAGCCCACTCTCCCGGCCCTTAGCATCTGCTCCACCATGAGTCAGTGGCACTTAAATAGAACCTCAGCAGGCAGAGCCGACTGCAAAGGGACAGTGTCACCCTTCCTGCCCCGACAGGCTGCATGCACTCAACAGATACGTGCTATAAGGGTGTGAGTGGGGGAGAAAAAAAAGCATATAATAAATTCTAGGTTTTTCAATGCATTGACAATGTACTGATTTCAACAAGTTTGGGAGCTTGAAGTTTATTCAAACATTGAGTTCTGAGACCATTGCTCTGTGGATTAAAAGTCAAGAGTGTGCCCTGGCTGGTGTTAGAATGTCAGCCCATGCACCTAAAGGTTGAGGGTTCAATTCCCAGTCAAAGAGCATGTACCTAGGTTGCAGTTGCCCAATTAGGGCACGTGCAGGAGGCAACCAGTTGATGTTTCTCTTTCAGCAATGTCTCCCTCTCTCTCTCTCTCTCTCTTCAACTCTCTCTGAAAAGCAATGGAAAAAAATATCCTCTGGTGATGGGAAAAAAAATTTTTTTTAATGCCAGGAGTGAAAAGAAAGTCTCCTGATTCTGTGTGTGTGCATACGTGCAAACAAACATTGAGACAAGTGTTGGCTCAGAGAGGCTTTTGGTAGTGTGTCAGTGTGACCCCTGCCACCCACCTCGCTTATCTCATCCCTCGTGGCGCAGTGCTGCAAGCTGCCGGCCAGGGTCCGCCCGTACTCCTGGGCTCGGGCTCGCCAGTTCACGCTCTCCCCCTCGAGGACGTCCAGCTGCCGCTGCAGGTTCTCTGCAGACACATTAGCGCAGCTCTGAAAGCGGAAGAGAAAAGGCAATGACAAAGGGAACAGGCAAAGCAGCAGGGAGACAAGTAGGCCATTTACCTGCATTATGAAACTCATGAGTGACATTTCACAAAACAGGCTCCTGAAATACCTTCAGCATATTTGAATATAAGGACTTCAGAAAGAAGCCAGATACCCAACATGGTGGGAAAGGTGAACCGTTAAACTTCCAGTCTTGAAACTTCAGTTTTGAAGTCTGCTCATCATACCAGCTCCTCAGAGACACCACTCATTACAAGGTGTAATTTTTACCTCAAAAGGCAGAAAGCAAGCATTAGAAACATTTGGCTTCTGCGCAGTAATTTTCCTGTCAACTGGAGCTTCAACTCCGGTTCATTATGCCAGTGCTCCCTCCAATCTCCACTCAGCAGAGGGCTGCCAGGGCCAAGGCCAGATGCGACTGGAGAACAATTTGCATTATTTGTGCAAAGTGAGGAGTCTTACTTCTTTCTTTTTAAAGTAAATTTATTAATAAAATAAAACTCTTTATTTTTTTTTTAAAAAAGCCCCTTCTTGGTAAAAATAGATTCCATTAACAGATATTTTTATTCCTAGATCTTTCAATAAAAGAATACTTTCGGTTCAGTGCATTCCATAGAGTTTAGTGGATACTTAAATTAACTTTAAAATAAAATTGGCCATTATTTTGATTAATATTCTACAGAATAAACATAACCTTCTTTCCCTTAAATTGGGAGTTAAAATTATATATATAATTTTAAGTTTAAATATGCATATATTTTGCATCAGAGCCCAATGTGCTGTTTATGAAAATTTGGTCTGGAATGATTTCCCTATCTTTAGACACCTCAGTAAGGTACACCCATCCTGTGGACTCAGGCAGTTCAACGGTAATGCCCAGAGCCCTTGGTCTCCACCAGGGGGCTCTTTCATGATGGGCTTTTATGGCTAAAGCAGCTTCTCTGAGCTTCAGGTTCTTCATCTATAAAGTGAGTGTCCCAGGCCAGGTGATCTCTCGGATACCTTCCAGATCTGCAATGCTAAGGCAGCATATTGCCCAAGAAATAAAACAGGAGCCACATGAATAATTTTAAATTTTCTAGTAGTCATATTAAAAAGTAAAAAAAAAGGCTGATGGGCTTTTATGGCTAAAGCAGCTTCTCTGAGCTTCAGGTTCTTCATCTATAAAGTGAGTGTCCCAGGCCAGGTGATCTCTCGGATACCTTCCAGATCTGCAATGCTAAGGCAGCATATTGCCCAAGAAATAAAACAGGAGCCACATGAATAATTTTAAATTTGCTAGTAGTCATATTAAAAAGTAAAAACAAAAATAGGTGAAATTAATATTCATAATAGAGTTTAATCAACTAAATCCAAATGTTAACATTTTACCACACAACCAAATATAAATATATTAATAAGGTTTTTTGATCCTAAGTGCTTGAAATCTGGTATGCATTTCATACTCACAGCACATCTCAATTTTTGCTACATTTCTATCACAAATACTTTATCTGTAATGAAATTTCATAGTTTCTAGTTTAAAATGGGAATATCCAAGTTGTTCCCAAGACATTTTAAAGTCTTCCAATAACTACATTGTAAACTTCTAAAATAAAATTAAAAGTTTTGTTCCTTAGTTGCACTGAGCACATTTCAAATGCAAAAAAATTAACTGCTGTGTTAGAAAACACATTTTTAATTAGCATGAGAATAGATGTATTAAACAAGACTTTTATAATCAGATTTTTCTTCTTAAAATGTTTTTCTTTTGTTATAGATGCTAGAAACTCACCACCGATAATTGCCCCGTGCTTTAATGCATTTTTAAATGTAGCACACACGAGGCAGTCTGCCTAGCTGCCCCCCTGTGACACCCAGGCAACCAGTTGATGTTTCTCTTTCAGCAATGTCTCCCTCTCTCTCTCTCTCTCTCTTCAACTCTCTCTGAAAAGCTGCCCCCCTGTGACAGCGATGAGCGATGGTGTTTGAAGTGACTTACAGGCCGCTGCGCTGATGAGATGATGTCCACTCCCAGGCAAAGGGCCAATTTGTGGAGCTGGTCTATGTGTGCCTGCTTTTCCTGCGAGCGACGGAGGCGAATCTGGGCATCACGAGCATTATCCAGTTCCGTTGGCTGCTCTAGAAGCTCCAGTTCTCTTGATTTGAGGAGATGTTCAAGCTGGAATACAGAGCATTTACAATTAACTTGTGTTTCATTTTTATGGAGACAGATTTTTTTAAAGCCTATTTCCTATTACATATTTTCCTAGCTGGTCAAATGCTGCCAAGTCCATCTATAATTATTAGTGCTATGACCAAATAAGAGTTACAATGCTGCAAATCTATAAGGTAAAGCTGAGGGGCTAAAGTCATTCCTATTAAAGAAGAAAACACTCTTTTAGTCTAAAACCTTAGGAACATCTAGGTCTATGATCTGAGTAAATTCAGAGGCTGTTTTAAAGAGATACCAATATATCTCTATTTTCTGTTAATAAAGGCTATTAACACTTTGCAGACCAGTAGTTTTATTGCTAGCTTTACCCAGTGGCCACATAAGTTTCTATTGGGTGGTACAAAAAATGTTTTGCATAATGTTAAAGGCACGCTTTACAATTAAATACCCATTGCATTTTGAAATTATTTATTATTTGTTCTTTCAAGCTAATATCTTTTTAAAGTATGATGCTTTGTAAAACACTGTGTACTATGAAGCGAGAATTCTCGTGATCCATCCGCAATGATTTTACTGCATACTCTATGATGTCAGGTGCCTGAGATACAAAAAAATAAAAAATAAAAAATAAATCTAATTTGTTTTCTTCCCTCAAAGAGCTTACTTGAGTTTGGGTTAAAAGATTATTAAAAATCAAGATGCTACAATGACAGATAAGTGGAGTAACTAATGAGAGTTCTAGAAATTTAGAAGAGAGGAAAGTCAGTCCAAGCAAGGTAAGATCATTGGAAGGAGGGGCAGGGAGAGTCGAGGAGAGAGAAAAATGTCTGTCAGATAATGGCAGTCCGGGAGTCAAAGAGTTGGAGACGTGTGCACTGCCTTTGAGGGACAGAGAGGAGCTGTGTGGCTGAAACCTAAGGGAGGACAGAGGAACAGTGAGAGAAACCTTGGAGGCCCGATGTGGAAAGCTGCTAATATCAGAGTAAGCAATGTGGCTTTTACTTATATAATAATTTATATTTCCTTTTAGAAGGGAGGGTCTTGTAGACATCTGTGACAAGTCTCACCTCTTCCTTGACTTGGTGGAACTGGACTGTCTTGTACAGGATGTCCTCATAGTCCTGGATCCTCTCTTTCTGTTTCTGATGGAGTTGAATGAGGTCCTTCAGCTGTTGGTGCTTCTCTTTCACAGGGGCTCCTTTGCCATTTAACTCCTCTGATTCTTTCATAATGTATTGAACCTCATCATTCAGTTGCTGAAATGTCGACAGCCATAAAAGAAGTCCAGCTTTCAGAGAGCTCTTTACTTAATAATGGACTCTATGAAGATCTAAATAACCAACGATTCTCTCATTTGTTAACAAAAACTTATCGTGAGCCTCACCCCCACCCCTGCAAATTCAGGTATTGTGTTTGATGCTAGAGGTATATTATTCCATCCCTATCTTCTCAGATTTTTTTTTTAATTATGAGCAATGAAAAAAAATGTATATCAAAGTTAAGTGATGAAATGAAAAGTCATGTGTTTCTATAGCTCACCAAATATTCTAGTTATCTGCGAAGTAAATGTGTTTCAGATATATTTTTAAACATTTTATTGATTTCAGAGAGGAATGGAGCGAGAGAGATAGAAACATCAATGATGAGAGAGAATCATTGATCGGCTGCCCTCCTTCATGCCCCCACTGGGGATCGAGCCCATAACCCGTGCATGTGCCCTTGACCGGAATCGAACCCAGGACCCCTCAGTCTGCAGGCCAGTGCTCTATTCACTAAGCCAAACCAGCTAAGGCTCTCCTGCCTCCCCTTTTACCCAGCATTACTCATACATCCCTCATAGAGTTGCAGATCCTGGGGTAGAATTTGCAAAGCATGGACAACTCAGAGAGGAAGCTATTATAATTTTGGATCTTACAGCAAAGATAAAAATAATGGAAATGATTTAGGCTAAGGAAATACTTTGCAGAAGAGTGACCTAATAAGGGTCTTCAAGTTTAAATCAAGCAGGTGGGCATCAAATAATATGCATTTCACAGAGACAGAGCTAAAGAAGCTAGACATAGCTAATGTAGAGGAGTTTGCACATACACACACTCTTGCATGTGTAGGGCATGTGCACACAAGCACACACAAAATGTAAATAAGTATACAACACAGGGCACATCAAAAAACCTCACATATAGGCTAATTGGATTTTCTAAGAGTTCACTGTGGGCAACAATGTTTGTGTGTGTGTGTGTGTGTGTCGGGGGTTGATTATATACTATATAGGTTTGTTGGAAATGAATGTAAATTAGATATTTTGTAAAAAGAATCTTCAATCTTCTAAATCTGGGATTCTTTATAGCCAACACAAAGTTGTGACAAACAGAAACACGGGTATCTTAACTTTGCAGCAAAGAACAGGAACCTAGTCAGGAGGATTACATGACTGGTGACCATTTTTGGCAGTTGTGTTGAATTTAGGAGTGGCAGCAGGTTGGGGTATGGAATGCATCAGCAGTCAGGGTCTGGGAGCATGGCTCGTGGTTTTCTCTCTCACATCCTGCGGGCTCTCTGAGAGGGAAAACAGGTGAGCACAGCAAAATTCCTGGGAAGGTGGTAGGAGCCCGGGGTGCCAGAGAGTGGAAACAGTGACATCACTTTGGACATTTCAGGGGCGGAGGGCAGCTTAGCCTCTGTGTCAGAGGTGCTCATCCTTGTTCTGAGATGACTTGATCTAAACATGGCTCTCCCCCTTAGAAAATGACTATAGTGCCTATATGTATGATCAATACATTAATAAGAAAATACTTTAATGTAAATTATAATAATCTAAGATAATTACCCTTAGGACATTTTACAGCCCAAATATTTGTGTATCATCAGATACAGAATAGTGAGAAAAGAAAACATAGTAAAAAAAGTGTGTTTTTAAGTGGATTTTTAGACAAGCAATGCTTTAAAAAAAAGTCACTCATCAGTCTGTTAAAGTTAATTAGGTGAACTGCAATCGAATGGCTGAAAAAATGTTTTCCATTCACCCAAGTCTATCAGTTGGTTGCTTTACCTGGAACTGAGGCTTCATTGCCTTCCAGTTTTTCCTTAGACCTAAAATGGTCTGGAGGCTCCCTCCAAGGTCAAGTGCAGACACAGGCATGAGTGCTTCCTGAAGAAGTTTTAAGTTGTGAGTAGTCTGAAATAAACATGGGATGGGTAAGCATATGTTTTCTTTGCCACCATCAGCAAATACATGACGATCATTCTGGTGATGACATGCTGTGTCATCAAACTTTTCAATCCCATGAGAACACTCATGACCTCGAGTGAGCTCCTGGTTCTAAACCACATTAATGAAGAAAAGCATAGGCCCTCGGTTTCCCTTTCCTCTTTGGTTTTATTGTGGTCAAATATACATAACGCAGCTGAACATTTTAACCATTTCTAAGTGTGCAGTTCGGTGGCATTAACATTCACATGGGTGTGCAACCATCACCACCGTCCATCTCCAGAACTTCTTCATCCCTAACGCAGCTCTGTACCCATTAAACACTAACTCCCATTCCCACCCTCATCTCAGCCCCTGGTGACTTCTAGTCTGAATTTGATTACTCCAGGTACTTCACCTAAGAGGAATCAGATCATATTCATCCCTTTGTATCTGACTTATTTCACTTAACATAATGTTTTCAAGGTTCCATGTGCCAGGATTTCATTTCTTTTTAAGACTGAATGTCCCCCACTGCGTGCTCCTCACCTTTCTCAGTTGCTCTTTGAACGCTCCCCACTGCTGTTTCACGGGCTGGCTGGCAGCGGCTGTAAGTCGCCACACCATCCGAAGGCGGCCGAGCTCTTCCCTTTCTGCCTTCAGACTTTCCATAGTGTTCTCCATAATGTGCACTTTATTTTTCACATTTAATATTTCATTCTCTTTTGCCTGTTAAATTAATAATCCATATGATGGCTTTTCTTTCCCAAGTAATACAACATTTTTCATATATCTACTCTAGGAGGCAAACATGATCACAACCAAAGCAGAGCACGGACGGTTCTAATAGCAAGCCAAGACAGGAGCGCGCCTGCTCAGGGGCATGGCTAGGCTCTCAGAACCCATGTTCCCTGCTTGCGCACCAGGTACTGAGTTCTCCAAGCACCCAGTGATGCTGGAGTCACCTGCTAGAGTCTATTTCCTGGGGCTCAAGAGGGTGACTGAATGAGCTCCTGGATACAGAAATATTAAAGTGAAGATTACTTTAATGCATACTTTTTAAAGTGTATTCTACCTTTCATTTTAACACACTCAATTAGCAGATGTCACAACCTCAGTATTAGGGAATAGGAGGCGGCAAATTGCTCTAGGCCATCTTTTCTTAAACTGCTCCATTGTATATATTACAAGGATTTTTTAAGTTTCCCAGTTCCTCAAGTTACTCCCTTTTGTAAGAACTGAGATGTGCAGCTGTATCTTCATTTTTGTATGTCTATTGTGCAACCAGAAGCACAGTATCTAAGTTTAAAGATTCCCTTCCCAGCTTCTAGATGTTCTGGCTGACTGATTTGAAATCCTTTAAACAATGGTTTTAAACAAGGGAGAATTTAATTGGAGGAAGAAAGATAAGAGAGGCAAAGATAAGATCGTGTGCTATTTTACGCACAAACATCGAAACATGCAGAAGAATAATTGTTTGGCAAAACCATGATTTTTACTTTGATGACCAGCTCTTCTCAATAAATCCTTGACTTTCTAAGGAGCAAATGTACATGGATTTCTACAATGACAATGACAACTAAGTATCTAAAAGTCAAGGGACCTCCTAGATTGTAGTCAGAAGATGGTGTCATAAAACTGTAACAGGATATTTTAAAATAATAAACCATCTTATTTTTAAATTAATTTAAACAGCATTAATATTGCATATTTATATTCCTATATTAATTTAGACATTATAAAAAGCCAATTAATTGCAAAAAAAGATAATTGCAGGTCCTAAAGAGATTTTTGCCCATGAATTTGGGGATCTAGGAATCAAATGATACATTCTTTAATTATGGTTAACAAGATGCTAAATATTATGAAAGATATTTGATAACTTCAGCTGGATCCAGCCCAAATCATAATTTTAATCTATGTTATAAGTAAAGTTAGGGTATCTTTCACCTACTATTAAGAAACTACTAATCAAAATGCAATGTAATACACAGTTTAATATAAATGTGGACCTTGCAGCATGCCAATGACAGCTATCCCGCAGCAGGGAGTGATGGTCTGAGTGAGGTCTGGAAAAGGGAGAGATATAGTAGCATTTGTTGATGTCTGGCTGGCAGGATCCAAAAACAGTGATTATGTACTTGGCAGACTTAAGTGTTTTTGTTTTTTTTTAATATATTTTATTGATTTTTTACAGAGAGGAAGGGAGAGAGATAGAGAGTTAGAAACATCGATGAGAGAGAAACATCGATCAGCTGCCTCCTGCACATCTTCCACTGGGGATGTGCCCGCAACCCAGGCACATGCCCTTGACCGGAATCGAACCTGGGACCTTTCAGTCCGCAAGCCGACGCATCCACCGAGCCAAACCGGTTTTGGCCAGACTTAAGTGTTTTGACCTCTCAGGAAGATTAATCTACCAGAGGTCTAGTTAATAAACACACTATTCATTCTACTTCTGTGGAAGGGCATGGAAAACTTTGCCATAACCTAGACCAACAGGAAACTCAATTCTCAATTTTCCATTTATATGCAGGCACAATAAATGGTCTTCTGATATCTTGCTTTTTAGATACCTTGATAACAGGAAGGCGGTACCCCAAATAACATCTTGGTGTTCACCATCATGAATTTGTAAATTGGCACTTTTATCAAGATGTCTGCCAGATTTCTCACTTAAATCGGCTTCTCTAATCTTGATGATTTTTAGATGAACTGAAAATTTTTCAATTTCAAGCTTGAAAATATGAGCCACGGCAACCCAATCAAGAGCGCAACACTCAGCGGAAAATGCCAGCTGGCATTCTCCCCTCTTAACAGCCAAACTGGTTACCACATTTCAATAATAATGTTTGTTTAAAAGCCTAATGCTCCAAAAGACATGAGAATAAAAAAATGGGTTTCACTTGCTTTACCAACAATTCCCTACCTCAAAATGATGCTGAACTATTATGTGGACCATAATGAAGTTAACAATTATGTAGACCATAATTCTTATCAGTAAGGAGGAACTTATCATATGACAGTGGTAAGGAACTTAGGGTGAAGGATTCATTTTTTTACATAACACCTGACATTTGATACATTTTCACTAGTCCTACCAAGACAGGACTACATAACTGCAAAGCAAGAGAAAAAGTAGACAACTCCAGATCCAGATATAGTAATTAGCTGACACACACTTTAAATGCCCATGATTAATATAGTTAAAAAAGTATCAAACTGGTGTTGCTCAGTGGTTGAGCGTCAACCTATGAATCAGGGGGTCACTGTTCAATTCCAGGTCAGGGTACATGGCCCCAGGTTTCATGCTCAATCCCCACTAGGGGGTGTGCAGGAGGCAGCTGATCAATGATTATCTCTTATCATTGAAGCTTCTGTCTCTCTCTCCCTCTCCATTCCCCTCTGAAATCAATTTATATATATATATATATATATTAAAGTATACCAAAGTTGGAGCATAAGAATGAGAAGATAGGAAAGATAATTTAATCAGCAATTGAAATCTAACAGAGAGAGAGAGAGAGAGAGAGAGAGAGCAGAGAGAGAGAGAGGAGAAAGACAAAAGACTCATGGACACAGACAACAGTATAGTGATTGCAAGAGGGAAGTTGGGGAGGTAGAAGAAGGTAATGGGGGATAAATGGTGATGGAAGGAGACTTGACTTGAGGTGGTAAACATAATACAATATAAAGATGATGTATTGTAGAATTGCATACCTGAAACCTGTATAATTTTATTAACTAATGTCACCCAATAAATTCAATTTAAAACAAATCAAATGGAAACTACAGAACTAAGAAGTAAAATTTCTGAAATGAAGTTAGTAATAATTAAGCAAAAAATACAATTTGCAAATATTTGAATTCTCTTAAGAGTGCAAATTAGAGAAGTACACAATCAAGATATGGAAGAATATATACTGAACAAAGTAAAAATGTAAAAGATAAATAAATGGTAGGTAGATGGATAGATAATAGATGTCCTAAATATTCCAAATGAAAAATAACAATTATTTTTACAAAAAGCACCTGGATAACCTAAGAACAAGGGCAAATTGCTTAGTAAGTTTCCTCTGATATTTAAAGATAGTATAAGATATGTTAGAACTGTTTCCTGTATATTTTGTTTCCACACAAATTGAATAAGAATGGCTTTCAAACAACAAAGGTTGAAACAAAGATAATGTCATTCTCACATGATTTTTAAATTAAGGAACTCAAGCCTTAGGTCTTGAACTAAAAAACAAAGAAGAGAAAGAGAACATTGCAGTTGAAAGTAGATGAGGGTAGTTAGATAAAACCTAACTCTTCCAAATGAATTCAGGCTCCAGACTGAGATTAATCACATTCCAGAGTACTGAGAAAATTGTAGATGTCAGTTATCTTTGCAAGTCAACAGAAGAAAGGAGCAGAAAAGATATTGACAGTTCAAATGTACAAGAACCAAATTACCACTGGAAAGAAAAATGCCTTGATTTTCAAAGGGGGGAAGACTGGGCTACATAGTTTACAGATTGGAAAGCTTTACAGTGAAAACCGTGCAAGAAGTTCATCATTGATCAAGCAGTTTGTGAGCACTTTGGAAAGAATCTCCTGGTCGCTATGAGCCAACCTGATTTCTGCCAAATTATTTTCATGCAATTGATAGGATGCTAGGTAGATATAGAATTAAACCCAGGAAAGTTGGCTAATGTAGTAGATAGCAGATGCAAAATTAGTTTGACAAGATGGAATCATGGGTAAAGATGAACAAGATGACATTGAATAGAAATAAATATAAAGACCCACATGTGTATGTAAAAGATAAATACCTGACACAGATATAAAACGGGAGGACCTAGCTTGGCAGGAATTGTAATAAAAATTCCCGCAACTTTTATTCAATCACAGGCTTAATATGAACCAGCACAGTGAAATCATGGCTAAAAATGAATGCATAGCCTTAAGTCTCATTAGTAAAGAATGATGTACACTTTGTTGTACTCTGTGTTAAAGTTGTACTTTACTTTTGGGTTATATTTTATGAATGACTTTAACAAATAAAAATTTGGGGGAGGGAGGATCAGGATGGAGAGAGAAATGAAGCTGCCTCATAAATGACAGAAAGGATTTGCATGTGGTTTGTTGCAGAAAGGACTCAGATTAGATACAGCAATTATTTTCAATGTTTGAAAGACTTTCACATGTAAGAGAAATCAAATATGCATAGTGTCTCCCTACCTCGTGTAACTACAGAGGGTTAGAACCAGGTATGAAGTCAGATTTGACTTAACATTTTAAAAAATGTTTTCTAGCAGCTCTTATTTTCTAACAATGCAATGAGCAGTTTCATTAGGAAGATACTTGAAGGAGAAGTGGCTTAACCATCTTTTAAGAATTCTGTAGAGAACTTTATATGGGTCAGAGGTTGATAAAAAGATTCTAGAGTATTTTGCAGACATAAGTGGACAACTAAAGTTTAGGATACATTTGTAAATATGATGGCGCTTCACTATAGAAAGATATGCTACAGTAAGAAATTCTTCAAAATGAAGATTCAGCCTAGATGTTAACGTGAGCCACTGGAAATTTTGTCAGGACTTTGTTGCAGGCTCTCAACATCACTTAGAACTCTAAGGTACACTTCTATGTAAATAATAAAAATGTTGCATTTGGATTATAGCCCATCTTTCTTCTAGATAGTTAAAACTTGTGAGAAGTGTAGGACTAAATAAACACACACATGCTAGGCTTTGGCACTGCTCTAGGTTGAATGAAGCTAAGAACTTTCTAAACCCACACTGCTGATGGATAGTTGAAGTTTTGAACTTAAGATTTTGACTTTGACAAGCAATCCTTGCAGAAGGTATGATAAATATTCTCACCATATTTATCAAATTAAGGAACTCAAGCCCTAGGTCTTGAACTAAAAAACTCCTTTTTAAAAAGAGCTGCCACTGCTTCTCGACTGAGTCAGACCAGTGCTTGGCCTCCGTGGTGTCCTCTTCCTCCCTCGGGCTTTCCATTCGGTAAAACTCCTTCAGGCTCTCACACTGCTCCGCTACCTAAGAGAGAGAGAGGAAGAGAGAATATAAATGCAAGATAAGAACACTTGCACACATTTTTAAGAAAATGACACAGATTCCGATAAAAGCCTATGTAAAAATTAAATGGAAACTGCATTTCAGAATTTTTTTTTTTTTTCAGAGAAAGGAAGGGAGAGAGAAAGGGATGGTGGGAGAGAGAGAAAAACATCAATGTGAGAGAAACATCAGCCAGTTGCCAGTCTTACATGCCCCAGCCGATAACTGAATCTCCAACTAGGGTAGGTCCCCTGACTGGGAATCAAACCCATGTGACCTTTTGGTGTACAGGATGACGCTCCACCCAACTGAGCCACAGTGGCCAGGGCCAGGATTCTTTAAATAACTTAACTATTGTCAATTTATTAAAACGATATGAAAATCTATCCAAGTTGTTTACAGACTGGACTACTACTGGGTAGTAAATTGAACTAACAAGTTTATTATCTATCAGACCTACTTACTGTGACCCAAATCATACTTATGTATTTTGTATAATGTATGTTTTGCAATTGGGGACAATTTATGTCAAATACGGGTGTGATAATATTTAAAGCTGAGTTTTATAATTCAGAAGAAAGCCAGACAAGAAATGAATAAGAAAATAAATATAAGTCAGTGAAATTTTAGTAACTCACTATTTGCTTTGAATCAGTGATAACCTTGAATGAGGATACAATTACTAATTTTCGGTACAAATATTAATATTCAACTGCTTTCATGAGCTAATCTTATCAAGTATATTGCTTGATCTCCTTAGAATTACACTTTTTTTCCTTCGCTAACCAATGTATGCAGTACTGGATTATTTTCGATCACTTTCTTTGAAGAGAGCTAATATAAAATCAAATGTGCCTATAGAATTAAAGATGAACATGTAATTGGCTGATATAGAAATAGTGGAAAAGTTTGACACACGTTTTATGCATTTTGAACAATACTTAATGGTCAATAGGACAAGACTCAAAGAGCTTGTAACTACCAAAATCAATCTAAACAGGGCGAGAAACTTCAGGTGATGGTTAGTCACTGTATTTTAAAAATTTTAACAACATTCTTAATTTAAATGAATTTAATAAGAGAGCCTGCAAACGGCCTCACAGACTGAAGTGCTCTGCACAGTTCCCATGTCCTATTTATTCATGACCCTGTTTTGCTGATGCCTGTCTCCTCAGCCCAGAATGATCTTTTCTCAGTTTTGTGCTCCTACACATCCTTCATGAGCTAGTTGAATTGCTACCTCCTCCAAGGAGTCTGTCCAACTAAGAATTAGCATTTATTTCCTTGGATTCCCAAAGATAGTTCTGGAAGAAAGATAACCAAAACCAAGTTATTACAACACAAGGACAATATACACACAATGTTATGGGCATAGTAAGGAGAGGCCATTTTTGAATTATTGGTAAACTGAAACCATAGGTGGGTGGGGGTGTAATTTTCATAGGAAAAGAATGTTCAAGAGAGAGCACAGGCAAGGACTCTGCGACCCTCCATACTTCAGGAACAGGGAACCAAATTAGGAAAAAGAAGAAGGAACAGATAAAGAAGCAGACAGAGTGATTCCACTTCTGTGAAGTATCCAAATAAGGCAAGTCTATAGAGATAGAAAGCAGATCAGTCCTTGTGACTAAAAAGTGCACTGGGGCTACTTTCGGGGTGATGGAACTATACTGAAACTAGAATGCAGTGACTGTTGCATAACTCAATAAATATGATAAAAATCATTGTACTCCAAAATAGATGAATTGTATGCTATGTAAATTATACTTAAATAAATCTGGGGGAGGGAGTTTAAGCCAAAGGAGGTAAGAATAACAGGATTAAATAAATGTGGCAGAGAGATTAAGCAGGATGAAGACTGAAAATAGAGATTTCATTTATCAATCAGTAAGTAACTTACAAGGACATTTTCAATGGAGTGAAGAGGTAGCAGATGGCTGGATTAAATTTCTGTGGGATGAGAACTGGGGAGGATGAGCAAGTAGAGACAAGAAATGTCATCTTCCCATTGTCAAGTCCAGATGTAAAAGGAAGGAAAGTCTAGAGTGGTTGCCTTCATGACCATTTGGGCATAACTGTAGACCAAAGGCAAGGAAGTGATGGAAAAAGCCAATTTCAAACATTAGAGGAGGTTAGTAGAGCTAGATTCTGAAGGATGTGGGAACATACAGGGAAGGATTAATTTTTTCTCAGTGCTGGAGAGAAGTAGGGACTTGACTTTTTTGGCCACAGTGGAAAAGGGGTGAATAAAATTGGTTTGGAAGTCCAAGGAAGTTGAGGCAGTTAGGCTCAATGGACTCTTTATTATTATTATTATTTTGTTATATATGAAGTAAGGGCACCAGCTGAGATTTAAGCATGGAAACTGGGGTAAGATGTTTGAAAATTGCTACTGAATGGGTGCCAATAGGGAGCATATGGGAGACCCAGCTGAGGCAGAGATCCATACCTTTGTAACAGCGCCAATCAGCACAATTGTACGATTTTCTGCAGGAGTGTCTGGAAGCTTGGAAAGAAAAGCTGAGTAAACAGAGTGTTGGATTGATCTAGTATTGGGAATTGGCAGGGTTTGTCAGGGTGGAAGGCAGGGAGTTGAGAGCATGGAGAATGGAATGCAAATGAGTAACCATGAGCAGGTGAGGAAAGAAGGAAGCCTGAGGGGGAAGGAGAGTGACAGAGCCAGAGCACTGCCCAGATTGGGACAGAAGGCTCTGCCAGCTAGGAAAAGCAATGAAGTGAAAGCTGGGAAGAGGAAAGAACATAGGTTCTTCTGAGAAGGTGGTGTTTGCGAAGCTAAGGTTTCAGCCCTAAACCCACAGATCCAGGGGCCAGAGTAGGTCATGGAAGGAGAAACTGAACCAGAAATCAAGGAGGTGTGTTTTTGGCAATAAAGATTCAGAAAACAAACACTTCTCTATACCTTTCCCACCATGGGTTAAAAGATGACTTTTTAAAATAATTTTGTGCTATATTTAGGATAGTGTAAATGTGTATGGGCCAAAGTAAAAAGTATTCTAACACAACCACTTTGCTTATTTGTATGTATATCTACACAAACATATTTGTATTGTGTTTTAGTAAAATGACTTACTGCTTTAGTTTTATATGGTGCCTTGGTGAATCAAGGGCCTATCAGTGAGTAAAGGCACCGGGGTGGACTATATGGAACAACCCACCAGGGCTCCCATCCCCATAGGACGTAGGAAGATGGCAGGGGCTACCTTGTTGATAACGGAGAGCACACAGGTACTGTACCTCCTCTGATGACTTTAGAAATGCCACATAGGTCTGCAGGACTTGGGACCTGGATCCGATGCTTTGGCCAAGTATGTTTAATTCTTCCTCTAGCCATTTAGCTTTAGAAGAAAGTGATGCTACTTCATCAGGTTCAAATTCATTTTTCTCTGTCATCAGTTTTGTGGCTGCTTCTAATTCATGTGATGCTTCCTATGAAAGCAACGCACAGAGGGTCAGAAGCTGACAGGGGAATCATGAACATTCACATTTCATTACCTTCTGCACATCCATCTATAACGGTTATTAATTGAACTTGTAACCAAGATGCTCCTCAATAAAAGGAAGGCACAACTTTCCAAAATTAAAAAAAAAAAGGTGTCTTAAAATAAAAACCACCTCAAGGTATTCTTTCAGTCTATCAGCTACGCTCTTTATTTAGAGCATTCTAAATTCTGTTACAAATAGAAGAAAAGTTGTTAGGTATGAAAAGTGGTAAAACAAAATGGCAAAAACATTTTAAATAATTTAAATAAAATAAGTATAGACCAGAATTGTTTTTGAAATTAACAATAAGCTCTAGCAAATTCTTAAACTAATTTTGTTATATACAAAATGGCAAGTTTATAGAAATTGTTTACTCATTTTTAAATTTATAAAAATGAAATCAATTACACACTTGTTTGTGAAATCAATTACACAGTCTTGTTTGAATTGCTATCTAGTAGGATTTTTAAACAAGAGTAGGGAAATATTAGATATGGGATTCAAAAGGCCAAAACAGTCAGTGAATTTGACTTGCTTAGGGTCACTCTTCTGGGTTTTATTTTGAGTGCAATTTGTGGCATGTGGGCTCTAACCAATGATGAAATGAATGAGTAAGTATTGTAGGCATTACAGATACAATTGCCATAGAAAGCCATATAAGATTTCATGTGATACCACGCTAGGAATCAAGCAAAAATGACAGAAAAACCTTCATCCTCATTTGCAGCAAGAAGGGGTGGCTTCCCTACTTGTGTTTAATATGCTTCCCAAGTACTCCACTGAACAATGGTAATTCTAATATACGAGTGCTGCTTCCAGAAGGCAGGGGGAGTTTCTTCCATGCGGTTTCTTTCTTAATTCTAACAATTTTGGAATATAAATGTGAATTCAGACATACATTTTATTTTAAACATTCTAAATGATGAATTAGAAACACTTCATGTAACAAGTAGGCGTGTCTGTGAGTGTTGGGTGCGGGTGCCTCTGTGCAGGAGCCTATGCTGCCGAGGACTGAGCAGAGGCACAGCCACCCCTGCTGACTTGGCGAGCCAGGGGCACACGTGACTCGCTTTCCTAAACACCCGGGGCAGGTCTGGGGCAACTAGCAGGAATATTTGAACCTAAGTCCCACGGGAAAGGGGTGAAGAGGGTTAAGAAGGTGTTAGGAAGAGGAGGGCAATTTCTGTCTCCTAAGGCTTAGTGTGCAAACAAGATTTGCCTCCTGAAATCTTGTATTAACACATGTCGCTTCTGGTAATTTTCTTTTGTAACTTACTCTAGTAGAAAATCACAAATAGTCTTATAAATGCACTCTCCCTGCCTCCTCTGGATCCCCAAAGGGAGTTTCTAACATCTTTCAGGCCAGAAAAAGGGTTAAATGAGTGTTTAATACCAGGCTAGAATGCTGAGCTTCAGTGAGCTCAAACTCCCTACTAAGTGCATGTTTAAATGTAGATAATTCAGATACACTTCAGAGTAGGAGCTTATAAGTCATTATTTACCACAATATTAATTTAGAATTGCAGCCCTCATGAGAACTAGGAGTAAGTTTTATAGCTACCAGATATAAGAAATCATCTTTACAAAATCATAACCATGATACTGATTCTCATTGTATGTACCTTAGCTTGGCTATCTAGTTCCAAATATTTACGCAAAATCTTCTCTGACTCAGAAAGGCTGGAGCTGACATCCATGGCATTGGAAAGTACTAGACTGATTTCCTGAATTGACATTTCCACCTATAGGCAAAAAGAACACATTGTAGCCTTGGTAACATGTATTTGCATATGCATAGAGAAGGTAAATATTACTCTATATATTCCCATTATACTTTAATGTAAATCAACATTAAGCTAAAAATAGTTTTAAATATTTTAGAATTTCATATTTAAATTAGTAATGCTGCTCTTCATATGAGGTAATGCTGCTGACCCACCAATAGAGGGTGTATGTTTTAAAATATTTCATTATACTAGTAGCAATGAGATAAAAAGCAATCATCCACACCCTCTAAGAATTTGTTATCTGTATTATCTAGACAGGATACTGTACTTGCTAACACATATGCAGAGATGAATGTATCTGGTTAATTAACTCACAAGCACCCACTATAAGTTGAATGGGGCCCAATTACTGGCACATTTTGAGATAGAGGTTTAGAGCGTGGGTATTAGATCATCTACGGGTTACTATTTTTAGGGCTGGGGGATCCTGAGGCAGCACCAAACCCTGTAAACGTGATAATAAACAGGAACACACTTAGGTGATTTAATTGACGAATGTAAAGACTATACACATGAATAAATGAATAAAGTGACCTTTGAAGGTTCTATTCCATTCAAGTCACTGCCTTCATCCAGGCTCTCATTAGAGCCCATACTTCCCAGATCAAATGGGTTCTGAACTGGCAGTAAGACAATAGCAACAGCTGTGTGAGCTCCTGGTGTTTTCCACCACCACCAAATTAGCTTGACTCTCAAGCTCTAGGGAATGTGGCTCCACAGCTGCCGCCATATTTGGAATCTCCCTGGATCCCCGGCCTCAGAACCAGGCTCAAATTCCCAAGTTTCTGGACCAATAACAGGTGGGGTGACAATTTAAATAGAGACATGGTTAACTGATAACCTCTCCTGTGAAGTCTCCTAATTTTACTTGTTTAAGTCGGGCATATAAATTCATTGTATTACATGAAAATGTCATAAAAAAATTGAGACATTAATGTCATTGAGATATTACTAGTTTTTGCTATATATTCCACCTACAGGTAAGTAACTTTTTGTTTAGTCAAATAGTAACTGCCTGGTTTCATTCCTCTTTGAAAATAGAAAATAAAATTCTCCCATACCAAGACATCCTATTCACTCTGCAGAAAGGATTTCCAAGTGTGTGCTTGTATTCAGAATGACCATGTCCATTGCACTGGCCTAGTTCAATAAAATATGATAATGGAAATTTATTCCTGGAACCCCTACAACGCATCATTTTTGTTATGTATCAAATGTCCTCATGTTCTATGGTTCCATGTTAATTAAAATTTGCGCATATTGGAACCATGCAGAAAGTCATGTAAATCAAGGACACCATCAAAATATGCACATGGTTAGAACTGCTTTTGTGTATACGTGTTCATGGCTGGGTGGCAAGTAGGGTTACATATATAGTTTTGGCACCCTGGGGCAGGGATGGATGATGAGCAGTGGTAAATGGCAACTCTATTCTGTTCAATTGTAAAACCTAACATGGCCCATGAGAGAAGCCTAAGGAGACATCCCCTATTCTCCCTCAGGCCCACAAGTGCAATTACCAAACCATTTATTATCATCAAACAAGGGGTTCATCTAAATAGTATTTTAAGGAGGACATATTTTATGAAACTACCTTCCTCAGGTAGCCCTCCACTGAGGCTGCTAATTGTTGTTTCTTGAGAGCAAAGTCCTTGTGCGCTGAACACTGTCCGGTCAGATGATCCACTCGTCTCTGGATGCATCCCATCATGTCATGGACGCCGGTCACCCGGGAGCTGAGTGGAACAGGCAGCTGTTAGTTCATTCCACCCCCATCTAGAAGCCCCAGGGTCAGGGAACTTTTGAAAGTAGATTTGCTCTTTCAGGAGAGGTACAAGTTGGTAAAAGTTATCAAGCTTCAGGCTTTAGGATAATCAGAATTTAAGTAGCGATGGTCCTAGTACAGAAAAGAGCAAAACCAAATTATGTTCCTTTGTTTAAGTCAGTCAGTCCTGAGGGAAAAGATGAGTTATGGGTTTTACAACCAGGTCTAATCTTCTCTAAAGGGTTTACTTTTAATGTTTCTCTGAGAGATTGTATAAGGACCTTATGGCAAAAAGCACTGTGTGCTTGCCAAGACTTTTCCTGGGGGTGTTATTTTAAAGCTTCATTTATCTAAAGGAGCTCTTTGAATAGAAATGCAGATCAGCCAGTTAACAAAACATCTGCTAATCCAATAAGGTAAAATATTTATGTAACACTAAGGACCTTGTTCTGCATGATTATGAATGCTCAAGGCTGCGTTCATTAGAAGAAAACCAAGTTATCACCAACCATTAGGAATCTAAGGTGTTGTTCACATAAAAGAAACCCGGCCTCATCTCATTTCTCACCTGTGCTGGCCTCTTGAGGAACAGAAAAGTGACATGAGCGCTCGTAACATGAAAATGCCTTTAAAACCACACATGAACTTTGAGTTGGACCCCATTTACTGGGTCTAAAGATAGATCAGCAAGTTTCCACATCATTTCCAACGTTGGCCGGCCAGCAATGCAGGACAAGGAAAGAACACGGCTGATGGAATGAGCACTCTGTACCTTTTCAACCTATTCCTAAGACAGAGTCCCTCCTACTATGCAAGAAGTTGAAGTCTTTAATTTCCTGTCAGTCATTTCCTTCAAATACGAATAAAGATGAACATGATATCTCCTAAATTTAATTACCCAGAGTTAAAAAGATCTTGGAATGAGGTACAGATTTCAGAAGTTTTACCTCAAATAATTAATTTATGACTCTGTAAAAATGAATTTAATTAGTAATGAAATGAGGGCAAGAACTGAGAGGTAAAGCGCGGCATCGCAGGAATGGCAATGAGGCTGCTGAAGAGGTGACAGAATCCAATCCAATGAATAGGAGATTCAAGTGCATAATGTGGGTGTCACTGAGTCCCAGAGAAGTTTAACTGGGAGATCTTATTCCTGACACATAATGTTCCACAAATATTACACTTAAAACAATCAGTTGGTATGTTAATAACTCAAAGATAGTGAAGAGTATAATCAAAGAATCAGGAGAGTTTTAGAAATAATTCTTATGATATGTAAGTCCACAAAATCTGTAAAAGCAGGGTACTGGTAATGCTAATCATATTTTAACTAGGTTTTAGACTTTGGGCCATTATATGCCAAAAAAAGCACTTAAAAGTCCAATTGTCCTCTATCTTATAGGTTCCAAGTTTTCTATAGTATATTCAAATCTGGAATGAGAAAGATAAACAAAAAAGAAAAAGTGGCCATAACCGGTTTGGCTCAGTGGATAGAGCGTCGGCCTGGGGACTGAAGGGTCCCGGGTTCGATTCCGGTCAAGGGCATGTACCTTGGTTGTGGGCACATCCCCAGTAGGGGGTATGCAGGAGGCAGCTGATCGATGTTTCTCTCTCATTGATGTTTCTAGCTTTCTATCCCTCTTTCTTCCTCTCTGTAAAAAATCAATAAAATATATGTAAAAAAAAAGAAAAAGTGAATAAGTGCTATAAAAAGATTATACAGAGAATAAAGTTTGTGAAATAAATGGTAAACATTGGCAAGTCACCATTTTTAATGTTTTGAGCTCTCTTTTCTAATTCTCCTAACTACCCTCTGATCTGGGTACAACTGTCATCTCCATTTTGCAGATGAGCAAACTGAGGAACAGAAAAGCGTGGTAGCTTTCCCAGGTCACAATTAAGTGGCCAAGATGGGATTCGAACCTGCTTATCTGATTTCAGAGTCCACTCCCTTTACCACTTCACAGTACCTTTTCGGGGGCTGTTACACATGATAGGAGAGTGAGGGTTTTCTTCCTTTCAAATTTCACTTTCCCTGACATTGAGTGTTGATGGAGAGGCTGGCATGCATTCTAGCTTCTCTTAGACTGTCTGTAGTTTTCAAAGCAGCCACTAGAGGGGCACAGTACCAACACAGAGAAAGGAAACAGGGAAACAAAACCAAACCAAGAATTCCTTCCCTAAAAATAATGCTCTTTAGCAACTTACAATTTGAATTTTGATAAATCAAATAGGGTATCTCTCCCTCTATCTTTGGAAGAACTATCCATTCTTGATTTTTCAATGACCTAGAGATTCGGTCTCATTATGTGGTGATTTGTGCCTTAACGGCTATATCAATCACATTGTAAATTCTTTACAGAAAAGGACAGCATTCTTTTTCATTAACATATCTCTGCAGCCCTGAGCACATAGCCTTGTAAGTAGTAGGTTAATAAATGTTTTAAAATGAAATAAAATACACTTTGATCAATATTTGAGGGAAGAGAAAACAGATTTAAAGAATAAGAACACATGCATAGTCACTGTGTAAAAATGTCACTAATAACCATTTCCAAACAATGACAACTTTGCCCTTTGCCCACTTACAGAAGCTTTAGGCTATCCGAAGACTGCCCAACTTCTTCCTTGCCGGTTTAGCATTTATAGTTATGTGGACTGATACTTCCTTCCTCGATTTCAGAGATGAAGAACCTTTTCCTGCCAAGGGCCATTTGGATATTTATAACATCATTTGCAGGCCATACAAAATTATCAACTTAAAAAATTAGCCTTCTGCATTTGGTCAAGCATTTAACTAATCCACCCCCAATGCCTTGTCAGGGCCAGATCAAATGATTTCGTGGGCCTTATACAGCTCATGGGCCGGCCAGTCCCTGTGCCTGTTATTGGAAGCCTTAGGGTCAGACTGAATTGCCTTGGTTCCCTGTGCATTACTGCCTGTCCACTGCATGCGCTACTCTTACCTGGGGCTTAGACCTCTCCCTCAGTATGAGAAATTCCCCATTATCTTGCTTACCCTGGCCAGCTCCTGTTTTCTTCTTTATGTCCTCAACTAGATCATCTCCATCTCTTCTGGCATCTCTTCCCTCTCCCTGAGTCCCAGCTGGAATATACTAGTATCTGTCACACTCCTAAACCCAGGGCCACCCCCGCCCTATGCCTTCTTAGTGAAAACCTAATCTGCAGGTTACGACCTGCCTCAATTTCATCATGTTTAGTTAGAAACTTTCTACACTAATCCCACACTTTTCCTTTGAACATTCCAAACACTTTAAAACATGTATAGTGGGCACATCGGTGATGTTCTTAGAGCCGGTAAAGCATATGCTTTTATCAAAGGGCAAATATGACTTCACTCTGCCAGCAATTCTTACATGAGTTGAAAATAAATGAATAGATTTCCGCCAGTCACCCAGGAACAATCCTGTGAAATAAATGATGGGATCAGAACTAAGAGCAAGTGACAGGAACTGTCACTGTGTTCTGATTTGGGAGCCACACCGCTCCTGTGCTGCCTCATTGGGGGGGAGAGGGGCTGACAGGGGACTAGACGTCTAGGTCTAAGGATCTATGGCTCTGTGATTTCACTGGAAATACTGGCTGATGTTTGAGCTTTCTCTCTAAGAATGGAAAATAAAATATATTAAAAAAATATATATATATAAAAAGAATGGAGTAGATGGTACCTGTCTGTAAGAGTGTTAGGTTCATCAGATTATTCCTGATGTTGATTTTGACTTCTTCAAGCATCACAGATACTCAGAAATAACATACTGAGGCTTTAGCAGACATTTGTTAGAAACGCCATCACGGGGACTTTTTCTCCCTTGTTCATTGAGGCAATAGAGGAGAGGGGAGAGGGAAGAAAGATGATTGATTTTTCCCACTAAAGAACAGAGACATATAGACTTCTGGCTCAATAAGACTATTCTATTTGCTATATGAAAGCAGTTGCCCTGTCTTTGCATCTGTCACAAATAGGGGTTGGGGGAGGGGAGCACATCCCAATGTTAATGTGTTCTAATGACTCTTTCCGGAGGACAGCACGTTGCTTCTAAACCTTTCATAAATTACCATTGGCAGCCCATCTGGATGAGGAGCTGTACCAGATGGTAAGCACTTGACAGCTCACTCTCTCTCATCAGAAGGAATCAGCTGATCACATTTTTCTTCTTGTCCATGGACAAATTACACTTTGAAAATGGAAAAAAATATATATATCTTCCTTAGCTTTTAGCTCACTGCTTCTCTTGGCAGGCACCAAAACAGTGTCCCTTCATGTTTATAATTTTCTGTATTTTGGAGGAAACAACAGTCATTCTCTAGTTCTCTTATCTACTTCAAAAAAGTGCCATTCGTTCTGTAGAAGTGAAATGTCTGTTTTCCCTTTTTTTCTGACTTAAGTTATACATATTGAGAATCCCTCCCTAGCAAACAAATCTCTCTCTCTCTGACTCTCTGTCTCTCTGTCTCTCTGTCTCTCTGTCTCTCTCTCTCTCTCTCTCTCACACACACACACACACACACACACACCCCTATTTAAAATACACATAATGCTAAAGAAACCGAAAGCAGTGATGGGGCTGAAGCTACAGCATGCCTGGTTCTGGCACAGACGCATGCCGAGATGTCCACAAGAGGCCACAGACATCTACAGGAAGGCTGCCATAGCTTGGATTCTACCTGAAATAAGTAGCAGGGATGGGATTCTCCCTCCTTGTAAAAGGAGGTTGAAAAATGTTGTAGTTGAGTGAGCAAAGAAATCAGACACAGAGGGGCAGTCAGGAACCACCTCTTGATCCCCACGTAGTTTTTGGAACACATCTCTGAGAGCCAGTGTGTCTCAGTGGGAGCTAATGGGATGCTAATCAAACAACAGAAGACTGAGTCTAGACTGGGGACCCTATGAGTTCAGGTGGAAGTCACTGCAAAGCTGTTAAGGATGAAAGAACCAAGAGGAGAGAACAA